CCACACCCACTCACACCCACCCACACCCACTCTCACCCACACCCAACCACACCCACTCACACCCACCCACACCCACACCCACTCACACCCACCCACACCCACTCTCACCCACCCACACCCACTCTCACCCACACCCACACCCTCCAACATTTTATTACAGTTGAAATGGTTCAACGTTGCCAGGATGTGATTATTGGCAATATTGAACAATATAAACTTTTAATGTATTTAGCTCCTGAAGATAAAGTTCTAGAAGTCAAACTAATACCATCAAATTTATTGCCTTTACCAGGTGATAGAAGTAAAAGTTTAGCAAAAAAAGAAAAACGTATTATTAAATTAACACCACGTCTGGCTGAAGTAAAAGCGTGTGTTCTTCTGTTCAAGTCACTTATATTTACTTCATCAATTTTATATAGTAACCAAATTATAAAAAAATCAGCTAGCATCTTAAGTTTAGCAATAGCTGAATTAGTTGAATCAAAACTTTTAAAAATTGTCAAAAAAGGTTTCTTCAGCTCCAAATGGACATCAGTATATATTAAATGTTTACTTACAACATGTGACACTGATGTGGAAATGGACTTTGAAATGAAATTGAGTGAAATTAGGGTGGATGGTTTAAACTTGGAAAATGTGCGTGACAGTTGTCATGATCTTATTATTGATGGAAAAGGAATAATATCTCATGAACTTATCCATTCATTGCAACAACAAGAATACAATGAACTAAATTTGAACTCGGATGCTCTGATGGAACGATGCAGTAAGTGTATTTTACTATTTAGAAAATAATTCGGTTTGTTTCATAGAACAATTTCAATCTAATGAAAATGATATTCCTTCGTCATGTGTATCATCAAGTATGTTTATAAAAATAATAATAATTAAGCTGTTTTTATTGTCAAGTTTAAAAAAGTTCTTAGTTATATCAGTGAGGATATATTGCATAATATCTTTATTTTAGTGGTGACAACTGTTGAATCTTCTTGCGATGCTGATACTATATCGAAACCTGAAGATGATTTTTTTCGACAATATCAGTCAAGGTGATGGTAAGTGTTGTCATTGTTCGTGAGTAGTTTCATAAAACTGTTTTTAACTAAAAAATTCCTCAATCAATCAAAGGCAATAACATGTCTAATAGTAGTATAAGCCAGCAACTAGATGATAAGTAATGGTTGAAATAATTGATTCCAAAATTTTTTCAGTTAATTTTCCGACAACTAAAAAGCAAACATTGAATTCAAACACATTTCTTCAATTAGATAGTAGGTTAAATTACTTTCGATGAATTTGTTTTCAATGGAGCTTTTTGTATAGAAAATTTTGAATCAGTTACTATTGATACATGTGATGTTACTGATAATCAAACTGAAAGTAAATTTATTTTCTATATTAATATACTACAGAAAGTAGCATGTAATTCATGTTTTAGTTGTTAATATGAATGGAAATGTTCCTACATTTACTTGTGGTAGTAGTGAAAGTGCTATGGTAGATAATTCAAATCAAATGTCGGAAGATGATGAAAATTCAAAAACGACTGTGATGGAGTTGACGAAAGACGCTCAAGAGATGAATGAGAACGAACAAAACACGACATCCAAGAATAAAAATTATATGAGTTTTAAGCCAAATTGTACTCCAATTTCACATCGATTACGTCGAAGAAAATCGTGCCGTAAAAAACAGCATTAGAATCCTATTTTAAAAAAAGTTGGTTTTTGCCTACTTTTTTTTACATAGGCTAATCTGGTTCATATAATATGAAATGCGCTGTAAATGTTAAAAGTTCTATGAGCATCGATCCATACTCATTCTGCACAAGAAACTTACGATATATATATGATGAAAGTAGAAAAGTAAAAATAAAAAGTGATGCGGTATTTTTTCTAGACCTGCAACTGAGAGTGGATAATCTTGCTTTTAAATTTGAGTTTCATCGACGAAAATGATAGATCTTCATTTTCAAAGAAAGGATTTTAAAAAAATGTATTTAGTTTTTCGTAATCATTGTGTATTTAGAAATCATCGTATAAAACCAGTTCATCCATAAAAGTCATGAAAAATAATACAAGAACACCTTTGAAAGCTTATCGTGGTGGTACAAATACTTTTTACCACATGAACTGATTTATATATTTTATCTTAATCGACGATGGTCCATCTACGATTCTGAGCGCAACAAGCGAATTGCTATTGAATTTAGAAATAGATTGGAGACGGACCATAGTAATGAAATAATTCAAAGTCTTTTCATGTTTTTTAATTCACGATCTGACATTCATCTTCTTGGAGAAAACATTATCAATGAAAATTAATTTCAAATAAAAAATTTCATTCATATAATACTATTCACCAGCATATGTCCGTTATGTAAACGACTATTATCAGCAAATGATAGTCACAGTTGTCAGGTTAAAGTTATATGTGAAAAAGGTGAAGTTTTATATGGTGAGTTAGTTTTCACTTTTCTATTTCTTTCAAAATAATCTTTTTATAGGAACTATTTTTTGGTTGGAATGTCGACATTCTGAAGATCAAAAGACATCAGAAACATATTTCATTTTTCCTAACTTTGTACGTGCCGGTGAAGGACAAATTTACTCACTCGTCTCATTGTCTCATGAGAGATTTTTATATATGGGTGGTTGTCATCAATGCCTATTCATCTAAAGTTGTTAACAACTCTAACTCACGGTGGAATACCGCTGACAGCCTTGATTTAGACGCATTTAGTGAAGGTCTGGATCAAGTACAGCCACTGTGCTGGAGAAGCTTAGCTCAAGCTTTATTTATCTATAAGGTAATACAATTTCATTTTATGATGGGTTGTTTCAGTGTAAAAATTCTAAAGCCACGACGTGGTTTCGATAAATGGTCATGGGAAAATTATCCAAAAATGTTATCTTGGTTCATATATTTGTGGTCTTCACATAAAAAAATGATAGGTCCTTGTCATGAGAAATGTTCAGCGGCTATTATTATAGATGGACATCAGAAATGTCGCCGCAGGGTGTGTCGATACAAAGATGTTGAAGGTAAAACAGATGAGTTTGAAAAGCTTGTAATCGGTTGCTGCCGAACTTCATTACCGAAGTCTTACTACTGCCGTTTACATCAAGATTGTCAGTTGCCGCAAGGAAGATGTAAATCAATTTTAAATGGACATACATTTCGGTATCGAAAGAAAAAAAATAAGATTCGCGGGTAGAGGAAAAAGACAACGGCAAGAAGGGTTTGAAGGAGCTGGCTGTAGAACGAATAAGGCACATTCTGAAGCATATATTCGGCGATGTTCACGCTCATTTGGATTGCTTGCATGTGTTACAAACTGCCGTGTATTTATCTCGTTTGGAGAAATCTTTAGGTCGGAAACACTTCGTGAAATTCTTCATTTACTCTTCTCAACGATTCGCGGTGAGTATATGTGTACTATTAAATATTTATAAAAGTATTCTTTTATTGTATCTAGTTGCAGGTAAACTACCACCTGCAGGTTGTTATGACGACGGCTGCCACTTAATAAAGTATTTACACAATCATATAGGGAAAGATCTAAAATCAACTGATGCAGCAGTGCTTCTATCCAAAGTTAAATTTAGCGTAGATCGAACACATTTTAAAAATCACATTGGACATTGGTGTCGAAGAAACATGAATCCAGACGATAATAAGTGTAAGTTATCATTTCATAAAATATTTATTACATTTAAAATTAATTTATATAGTGCTCGAGAATGTAAATACCGAAGCAGCTGAACAAGCTTTAGCTGGCTAAAAAGATATTCATCAATTATCAGTGCTTTAGGTTGGCTAAGAGCGCCAGTATTTATTCTCTTACTTTTCCACATGAAAAATCTAGCTCGTTGCAGTGTTCGATCCAATCGAATTTTTAATATAGTAGGTAATAAAATGAATGATTGACTGAGATTAAGTATGTTATTATTCAGAGTGAACAATGTCCGGTTATTGAAGATGTTAGCCTGCACCACAGTAACACAATTATAGAAGCTTTTGCTATATCGTCAATAATAAATATTAATTCTACAAGTTTCATCAACGAGAAGAAACAAACAAATGGTACCAAGAAGAAGAAGAAGACAGATTTATGCTTACTAGACTCAACAAAAACGGATTGGGCAACGAAAGTTGCTTTGATTCGGAAGAATCATAACATGGTTGATAGACGTCGAACAAAAACTTTAAAACGACTATAATATTTTTTTTTTGTCTAAGATTGTTCTTTGTAGTTGAGAACCAGTACTCCTATCGATAAAAAAAGTGAAAAATTTGTGACCTTATCGAATTTATTACCATCATTTATATTTTATTCATTAATTATTATAGTTTATATTATTTATCATACCATGATGTCAGATAGTCAAATATCTGAACGTTTGCGAGATTTAGGTTGGAATCCTCCTGTCATCAACGAAACTAATCGTATGTATGGTTTGGCCGTAATCTATAATAATCAAATGGATCAATCTATGGGCGAAGATGAACTTCAAATGGATTCTCAACAGATACTAGGACACTCATTATACAATGTCGAACGACGTAAGAGTTTTTGAAAATTAGCTGGTATATATCGATATTTACTTTTAGTCATTTCTCCTAAAACTACACATCAACTAAATTGGACTCATTATACACAAAATACAAAACAGGTACATATATTAAATGACATAAATCAGCAAACTCTCTTTCTTAGGATGTTGAATCCGGTTTTCGGTATACTATAACACGATGGGAAGGTGAACAGAATGATGTTGTTGTTGAACTCGAGCATATGCGTTTGAGCCATAATTCGATCGAAGATGAACGCACTCTCGACATATATTTACTCATGAAATATGTCAACGATCACGTATGCGGAGAAGAATCTGAGTCGAACGGTAAACATTTTATGTAACATTATAGCATAAAATTTATCATTCAGTAGATAGTGTGCATTCGCAAGATATTGAAGATGCTGAACTTGCTCGACTAAGCGAAATATTTGAAAGAGAATATTATGGATATGTTGCTGATACAAAACTGATCGAAGCAATGGATAGCCTTTTAATAATATCCGAAACCAATAAACCCAATGAAAATGATGATTTTTCACATCTATCCATTCAAATTTTAGATCCATTACACGCTTCCAACGCTGATCATACACAAACTTCGAAGATCTGGACAGCGATGAATACTATTAATCTCAAAATCAATTAACCGCGTACGTTCAAATGCACGGCACGATTCAGTTATTATTCACCATCTAACATATTATGAACATTAAAAAACCTATAACGCGTGTACAATGCAACCCTTTGCAAGATTAAAAAAAAAGAAATAATAACGTTACCCATTATATATGTGATAGATGAAAAGCATATTACTTATATTAGAATTCATTTATCCACTTTTCTAAATCATCTTTCTCATGGAAAAAGTATTTAGCTTTTGAGTTTGGTTCGGTAACATTGATCTGTACAAAAAGAGCAATTTTTACTTGGGTCTCATCTTTCCACTTGATTTAACTATATCTTACTGATCGAAAAGTTGTCCAATCCTCTTCCCCTCCCCCAAATAATTAAATGTCAACTTTCTGGAATTCCTCCCTTCCCTGATTACGCTATGACTACGAATTCTACCATGATAGACGAATCCGTTGTACAGTCGGAAATCTATAAACGTCATCCTTGGGCGACCCCTCCCCTCCATACAGTTATCAACTATCATTATTGACTGACCCCTCCTCCCCCTAAACTCGATAACGTAATACTTGCACGGTCCCTTTTTGCTGTATTACTTTGGAACTTTGTCGAAGATTTTACCATCTTCTCTTTTCATGAACGCAACGCACTATTGTGTACTCGTGTGCTAAAACTATGGTCTGAAAAAATCAGTTCGACTGCATAGCCACACATAAGGTTTTGTAGATAATCACTTGTTAAACAAAATGCACTGAACCAGAGCTTCCGCATTTTTCATACAGAAAAGTTCGAAAACAAAGAAAATAAAGAATACCATTTTTTTCTAACAAATATCAGAAATACCGAAAAATGATTATATTGTATCCAAATGTTCGTCATCAAAACATCATTCTCAACCAAAATGAAGGTGTGAATGATATACCAAAGGCCGGTGAATCCCAATGATAAATAGAAGATATAGTTGAGATGAGGAGACATATCTTTTATAGCGAAATCTGTGGCTACATATAGTCTACAAGAAGATGATGAAATAATTTACATGTGATAGAGAACAAGATGATGAAACAAGGAGATGGCGAAATAATCCAGAAAAAATAGATACAAAAGAAGATGATGCAATGACGAGTATGAAGAGCGGAAGAAATGGAAATGAATCATGAGAGTGAACTATGGTGACTCCGTGACAGAAAGTTAGAATCTTAATCAACGCTAAAAACCAACGCAGGAAGAATAGGTCTAGTACCTTTGTACGAATGAACAAAATTCATTTCTTAAAACCCACATCCACACTCAATATAGCAGTTCGAGACCTATCTATACGCTCCCAATACAGAGCTCAAAGATCCACACGCATCCTTAAGATACAGGACTTGAGGGCCAACAGGTGCCCGTGATAGGACACTTGCGCACTGACAAATATATTCTATAGTAATTCTACATACTACTATTGAATACAATGTCTGGTTCCTCTTTCATTAGTCACTTTTCTCGGTCAAGCAGATTTGAAGCGAATTTTTTCGATACGCTAGCAGTTTTAGACTCCGAGTGACGGCTACGTAGGCGTTATTGCTGATTTTCTTTCAAACGCCGTAACTCACACATGCAGAAACAAACACAATACATGTCTAGAAATCTGACAGGCTGGAAATAGAACAATCAACCTTCGAACATTGTAGAACGACGCCTAGAGAGATTGACGTCAGAACTTTTGAAAAGAAACCATCCATAACCCTCAAGTAGTCGTCCCCCAGCCCCAAAATAGCGCTTTCCTATCGAGTAAACATCATCTCGATTTCTAATTGACTGAAAATGGACCAAGTAGATCCGAAGATCTACGGAATACACACTAGACGACTGTGAGTCATCGCATATGAAAAGAAATCATCCATAACCTTCAGGTACCCGGCGCCTCGACCCAAAAGTAGCGTTTTCTTATGCAGCGAAACTCCCTCGATTTCTAGCTAATTCTGGAGCGTGTCGGTGTGGGTGTAAGTGTAAGAACACGGTGTGACTCTCAGCATATTTCCACCCATACACACACTCGAACCACGATCCTCACACACCACTCCCCATTCCAGCATCCACAGCATCAGCCAGATCCGGAGACTCATCCACACCCACACCGATATCAACACACAGTGGCGTAAATAGGGGGGGCGCGTGGGGCGCAATACCCCCCTGCTTTCGAAAACTAATAGGAAAAAGAGGGTTTACGCCCCCCTACTTTGGAAAATTTCGTTTTTTTGGTCGTCAAAATAGAAAAAAAAAGGCTGCACCCCCCTGCTCTGACACCTGACTTACGCCCCTGTCAAAACATCCTCACCCACGCTCATATCTATACACCTACACCCTCCCATCCATCGTCACATCCTCAAGATGAATGCGGAGATTGAGTCCGTTTTCTTTCAAC